GCTTCGCTGCCCTCCCGCCGCCTGGCGGCCGCCGCCGCGGGGAGGCCCGTCTTGGAAATGTATTCTTAGTTTTCTGGTTGTCCCCAAAAAAGCTGGAGTTGCAGTGTGTGGTTCTTGACAGTTTGAGCTAAATATTTGTAATACCTGCAGTGTATCTTTCTAACAGGTCGAGGTGGAGCTAAAATAAGAGAACTTGAGGAGTCTTCAGGTGCTAGGATACAGGTACTGTGCGTGCTGCATCTCATCCAGGCCAAGACTCTGTCAGGAAGATAGTGTTTTGGTTCTGCTTCGGTGTAAACCAGAGTTACTGAGGCAAGTTGTTGCCCTGTAATAATTCTGATCTTTTATAAGAATAGCTAAAAAGGAGGAGGAATTGAGGGTATAACTTGGCTTATAGGTGAAGGTAGGGAAAGGTCGCTTTTTTGTTTCCTGTTGTTCTTTTCCTGAAGTATGTGTTTAATCCCTTTTCTTTTAAAAAGGGAATTAAAAGGCCTTTCCTAGAAGGGAAGTTCAAATCCAGGAAAGAATGCAGTGTGTATTCTAATATAATATCTGTCTCTGAAGTATAGAAACATTCAGTCAGCTTTTATAAACATAGGTTATAAAGAGAATCTGTGAAGCTGAAGTAAAGATTTTTGGCAGCATTACTGTGCAAAACAAAGCCAAGATGTTGATTGAAGATACTGTTACAAGACTTGGGCAAAACTACGCTAGAGGTGGGACTGAGAAAGGTAAGAAGTGTGTTACAAAAAACAATGACTAGGTTATTTCTGTGTATTTGGTACTTTTGCGGGAGTGTTTGTGTCTTACCAAAAAGAGTGGACTTTTCACCTTTTTTTAGACAGTGCAACACATCGTTAAAACAGAAATATCTAGATGCTACCTGGGAGCAGTTTTTCCCCCTCAGACTGTCAAACTTCTGGTGAACCTCTGTTCTTATGTGTTTCCAACAGTTTAACAAATAAAAAAAGGTCATATTACGTGGTTTCTTGCAATATCATTGTGATCCTCCCCTAGAAATACCAAGTTTGTTTCCAGTGTATGCTCTAATGTAGTGTCTGTACTACAATTCAGTATTAAATTAAATTCAATTCAATTAAAATTCAGTAAGGTTGCATAAACGTAGATTATAAAGTGAACAGGTACTGATTACAGCATAGGTGAGACTGTTTCTCAACTCCCTTCATGGTAAGTTAGTATTTATGGTTTGATGTTACACATCATGCCTCACTTTATTATACTTTGTAGTATTAACTCTGTCCGTTATGTGGTTATCTAAGTAATGACTTTTATTTTGATACACTGTTTATATTGTTGCTGTTTGTCTTGTTTGCCTGTACAGTAAGCCCCTGAGGCAAGGGCTGTCTGCACAGTCATACTTGATCTGAGGCACTGATGAAGAAGAGAGAATCTCAATTGTGTTTCAGCCTTAGAATGACAAATAGAACAATTTCCTGTCTTGTTTTAAGAAGGGCCTCAAAGTGCATTAGTATGCATCTTTGAAGAAGCTAGGAATACTAATGTGCGTTACGTGTGTGTGACTGTTTTTGCCCCACCCTTTGTTTTTACACTAGTAGTTAGCTGTGTTGCCGTTTATATCGTCAACATAAAATCTCTTTTCCTAAAGAAATGTTAGCCTAATCAAAAAAAGGGCGTAGAGCATAATTACTTTGAGGTTTTATTTTGATGGTGCTTTAGAAATAAACCTTGCTATTGTAGCTGTTAAAAATAAAACTTGGTCTGTTCCTCATCGGCCTTGGTTCACTCCTCCTCTTCCCCCCCCCCCTTTTCTTCCCCCAAAAACCTGCTGCATAATGAGACTTGTTTGTAGCTGAAGGAACTGCATTTCAGAGCCTGTCATTAGGTTCCTTTAGGCAGCTAAAGATGTTGAAATGCTTTTCTTCTTTTCTCATCAGAAATAGATTTGTGCAGTTTTTACTGATTATCTCAGGGTAAGGCCTAAGAAAAAAAATTCTATTTAAATGCTTCATGTCTGCTCAAAAACAGTAAGAGGTCTTGTAATTTTTTTTTTTTTAAGTGTGGAAAATAAAGGTGTTCTGCTTTTTGGGGTTTCTTCCTCAACCCTCAACAGATTCCATCACACAGCAGCACTTTGGTGGTAATTCTGCAGAAAAACACTTGGATCTTATCAAGCCTGAAAGTACCCTGCAGAAATCCGTGATTAACTGGGCCTCCATTCGAGAAAATAAAGCTAGATATGAAGCTATGAAGTGGGCAGGTTAGTTTTAAGAATTCTGGCTGTATATTGCTGGTCTTGATTTGATAAATTTTTTGACTGCGTAGACATTTTTAGGTTTTGCTCTGAGATGACTTTCATCTGAATCAATTAAGAAACCACAGTGAAGTGGCCCACTTCAGGATTTCTCAGGGGTGGTCGTGGGGGACAGTGTAGTCACTGTGTGAAGACTTAAATGCAGTACTCTATATTTCAGCTTCAGCCTTTGAAACCGCTATGATTGCGTATGTGGCTGCGGCAAAAACTTGAGAATTGTTAAATGTAGTGCAATGTATTAGTAAGAATATTTTGAGAACTTGAAACGTAGGGACGTCATTGTTTTACGTGTGCTTAAGTGTTTGTCTCTGCCTTTACTGTTAGATTCACGTGAAAAATAGCCTCCCGCTGCTTTTGACTACTTTTGTAGCGCAAGGCGCATAGTCTGCTTGGATTTGGGGTTTCCATCTCAAGCTTTAACAGACTTGCCCTGAATCTGCGGTATCTCTTACTGAGTAAAGTTTGCTTTTGTTCTGATTGTTCAAGACTTGCCTCCAATTGAGAAAAACTTTTATAAAGAGTCATCAAGGACTGCATCTATGTCACAAGAAGAAGTGGAACTGTGGCGGTAAGATTATTTTGCCAAGCAGATGATTCATCGTAGAAAATAACTATTAAAGTATAAAGCATTTCAATGGGAGATGAAATACTGGAGCAGAAGTATTAATGTTTATGTCTTGTAGTAACTTAGCAGATCTTTCAACAGTGAGTAACAGATGAGGTATTATTAGTTGTTTGGAAAATTGACTTTAGGAATTAACTGCTTCCCTAAACAGTATTTGATCAGTTTGACTTCCAAAGGGGAGAAAATCAAGATTGTTCATTGGCTTTTGGTTCTTTCTTTACATTTCTGTAGACAGCATATTCAAGGTTTCTGTGTCCTTCCAAATAAATCTTAGTATTATTTACATGCTGAATACCTTTTGGCAGCCATTATGTTTCATTATATGTTTGAGTCAAACATCATCTTTGAAATAGGTTTCAACTTTGATTCCTGTTTTTTTTTTTTTTCTATCCATCTTGTCTTTACAAGTGCATCCTGGTGAGTACATGCCTCAGTTAATTGTATCCGTTCATCTTGACCCAGCAACCTACATCATTAGTTTGCAAGAAAAACAGATCATCTGTTTCAAATGATTGTGTTCAGACCCTGCTAATAGTTTCAGTCTTTTTCAGTAGTTCTCATGGAATTGGTAAGCATTTCTGGAAGCCTTACCTTTTATTACTTGTCTTTTTGCATGATGCCTGTGGTGTTGTGTTTTTTTTTTTTTTTTAATTGCGTGCCCTCCGAAGAACCTTGCCACTATGAGCACTATGAGTGAAGCTTGAAATTGACACCTGTTTCCTTAAAATACGTGTTACTGTTGGAGCTCGCCAAGAGTAACTCAGCAGTGTTCTGTACGTTCAGAATACACACTGAGGAATAGCACTTTTGTAATAAACAATGAAGTGTTTTTCCTTTTTCATCTTACCTGTTTATCTTTTAAAAAAAAAATTGAAAATATATATCTTTTTTTTTTTAAATATGGAAAGAAGTTGAATTCTTTTCCTAGCCTATTCCCTGCTTGAAGTAAGCATTTGTGGAATGGAATCTTCGAAGCAGAAGAGGACTGGAATAAAGATAAACCACTGATGCATATTTATACCCCCTAATTGGGCGGGGGTAGGGGTTGGATGACCTTAAACCTTGCTGTTTATATAGCTTTTTGTGTGCTTTTTTGTAGCTTGTCTGTCTTACTGGCCTCCTCCTTTTTGTTCTAAAGTATTTTGTTTGTATTTTCTAGAGCATCCAGAGAGCTGCTCTGAAAATATTTCAGGAAAGGTTTTATCAGAATGTAGAATTCTGACAAATAAGTCCAAATCCATTCTTAGGAGCTTTAGGTTGCCTTTCGGTGTAAAAACTATAACAGTTCAGTAATTTGTGATAGAGTATAAATGAAGTCTGATATGACAGTGATGCAGTGCATATATAACTTCAGATTAGTCGTTGATTTAAAAAACTTTTATAGAGGAAGGGGTAATTGAGGAATACAGGAGAAGTGTTTCTATGATAAGGCTTTCTTGGAAGTTAAACGAATGGTTATAACTCTAATCCAGGAGCCTGAATTTGTTTGCTGTACTGGAAACTTAAAAAAAGAAAAAATCAGAAAGATGTAGTCTTGTGTATTAGTTTCACATTGTCAGATTCTGTGGTTTTAAGGCTATTTCACTTCTTTAATTCTACACAGGAAAGAAAATAATAATATAATTTGTAATGACTTGAAAGAAGGTGAAAAGCGCTGCATTCCCAATCCTGTTTGTAAATTTGAAGATGTGTTTGAGCATTATCCTGATGTTATGGCTAATATCAGAAAAGTGGGTTTTCAAAAACCTACACCAATTCAGGTATTTCTTCAATTCTGATGGTGTTTAACTGAAACTTGAGAGATGTCCGTTTAAATATGCATTGTTCTATGTTAGTCCCAGGCATGGCCAATCATACTCCAAGGAATTGATCTTATTGGCATAGCACAGACGGGTACTGGGAAGACATTAGCCTACTTAATGCCTGGATTCATTCATTTGGATTCACAACCAATGTAAGGACTGTTTGTATCTCTGAGTTGCTTAGCTGTGCATACCTTCACCCCCCCTCGCCCCCCTCCCCGAAGGTAACTTTTTTTTCCTAGTTTAAAAAAAAAAAAAAAAGGTAGATCATAAATTGAAAAAAATTCATAAGCCTGGGGGAAAACATTACATTTGTTACAGAAACAGTACATTCTAGTAGATTTCAATGATGAGAACTGAGATTCTCTAAAAAGGTATAAGAATATTGATCTATCAAATGTGGCAGACTTTGTGTCTCCTCATATACCTACACTATAAAGGTGCTTTATTGCAGACCCAGAGATCAGCGTCGGGGGCCGGGGATGTTAGTCCTTGCTCCCACTCGAGAACTGGCGCTTCAAGTTGAGGCTGAGTGTTCAAAGTACACATACAAAGGAATTAAAAGGTAATCTTCCCTCTCACCTGTTAATCTGCTAATATAACTGTATTTGTTAAGGAGGGAGGAGTAAAGGCGGTAGATGCACAGTTCATATTTTCCTTGATTTTTTTAGGATGTCTTGTATTCTGTTTGTATTGCATGGAAGGTGTTTCATGAGCTGCGAGGTGGTATGCGTACTCTGCCCTCCTTTGGGGGGAAAGGGCTCAGGTGTATTACTATTTTTGTCCCTACCCAGAGAGAGGGAACCTCATCTGAAAGAGCAGGATGTTTAGAAGAAGCTCTCATGCGTTCTTAAGACAATGTATCTGTGGGTATAACACCTAAGGAGCTCATACGGTTTTTTGTTGTTGTTAATTCTTTAGGATTTAGTCTTTTATGGGGTCTTATTCCGTGACTATTCATGATCTTCATGCATGCAGCGTCAGCCAGCTGTCGGGGTCACTTCCCCTAGAATAAGGCCACGTTAGCAAGCTCGCTTTCAGAAGTGTTTGTTTGTGTTCTGCTGCCTCAAAAGCGCAGTGAACTTCTTAAGGATAATCTCTTGTAAATAAGAAACATTGTCAGCAGTTACTTCACTGTATCACTGTTTGTATCAGAATGTTTTATTCATATAATCGTAGGCTCATGTAGGTTAGAAAGGACCTTCAGGTGTCATCTAGTCCAAGCTCCTGTCCGAAGCAGGTCCGGTTAGAGCAGGCTGGTCAGAGCCTTGTCTAGTCAGGTTTTGAGCATGTCCAGGAATGGAGATTTAACAGCTTCTCTGGGCAACCTCTTCTAGTGGTGAACCACCTTCATGATGAAAACCTATATCTTGGAACTTTCAGTGCTCAGACTTTGCCTTTTGTTCTTCCATTGTGGACATCTGAGAAGAGTCTAGCTTTGTCTTCTCTACGCCCTGCTGTTCCGTAGCTGTAGACAGCGATGAGATCTCTGAGCCTTCTCCTCTTCAGGCTGAACAAGCCCAGTTCCCCCCTTCTCACGTCAGGCGCTCCAGCCCCTTGACCATTTTTGGTGGCTATCCGCTGCGTTTGCTGCGGTCTGACAGTACTTTTCTTGCAGTTGAACAGGGGGATGCAAAAACCGGATATGGTACACGAGGTGTGGTTTCTCAAGCGCCAAATAAAGGGGAATAATCACTTCTGTGAATCTGCTGGCTGCACTGTTTCTAGTACAGCCCAACACGCAGCGTACTTTCTCTGCTTTGTGGGGCACAGTACTGGCTGATTTCTAGCTTCTTGTCCACCTAAGTCTTTTTCTGCAAAACTGTCTTCTAGCCTGTTGTCCCCCAGCCTTCACTGTTGCATAGGACTGTTCCATTCCAGACACAAGCCTTTACTTTTGCTTTTGTTAAACTTCATGAAATTCCTGTCAGCCCATCTTTCCAGCTTTTTGAGGTCCCGCTGAATAACACCCTGGCACTACAGTGTGCTGACTGCTCCCCAATTCGGTATCATTCAGAAACCTGCTGAGGGTGCGCTCTGTTGCATCATGCAGATCTGCATTAAAGCTGTTGAACAGACATTATTGTATTCTATAACTTACTTAAGAGGACTCTGTAGTAACCTTGTATAGCATTCAGAATTAGTTTAGTAGTCCTCGGTGCAGTCTGTTTTCTCCTTCCCTCCCCAAAGTACTTGAGCTGTACAAAAAGTGAAGACCTTTTTTGTAGGCCTGAAACCTTAGGAGTGCATTGGTTGGTTTAATAGCAAAAAATCTGACTTTTGAAGGTACGTCTCAGAAAATCATGCATCCTGTTTTAGGTTTGTCTATTTGGTATGAATATTTTCAAAACAACTCAAAATACACTTGTAGCTTAATAGCCGTTTTTCCCTTCCTCTCGTGATTACTTTCAGTAGCTCTCTGCTGAAGTTGTACAGTTGAGGGGAGGGAGTCATTCAGTGTTAAGCTATTATTTAACTTTGATTCTAGCAGTCGCGCTTACATTATATTTCTTCCTTTTGGTAATACCAGGTGATACCTTTTAAAGTAAAGCAACATGGTGGTATTTACTTGAGAAAGATTGACTTTAGTTGAACCTTAATACTCTGCTTCTGGAAAACTTTTTTTTTTTTTTTTTTTTTTTTAGTATTTGCATATATGGTGGAGGGGACCGAAAAGGACAGATAAACGTGGTTACCAAAGGTGTGGATATTGTTATTGCTACTCCTGGCAGACTGAATGATCTTCAAATGAACAGCTTCATAAATCTGAAGAGCATAACATATTTGGCAAGTAGTTGATATGAAAAAATAACGCCCTAGTTGGGAAATAGTTGGTTTATTCTGAACTCAAGCTTTAATTTAGCTTTCTTCTAATTTTTTTTTAAGTCTCAATTACAATATATCTTAAAACTAACATCGGAGTTGGGGGGGGGGGTTCATTCCTATCATAATTGCACTGCAGACACGGAGTTCCTAGGAAAAAATAAGGCTTCTAGCAGAATAAGCATTTTGAAGATGATAAATTGTTTTCTCGTAATAGTAACTTTCGCCATTTCAAACTTAATTATGCAAAGACCAATTATTAATGGATCAAATGTTTTTCCCTGAGTCATCCTTTCCTTTTCTTGGAAAGGTTGCTGGTAGCTCAAGTCCTTACTAGTAGTTGTGCAGTAAGGACCAGCCTCACATATGTAATGCTTGGGTGTCTGACTTTCTCTTGATTCCAGTGGTAAAAAAGACACATTAATATTGTTTTGGATCCTTATGTTTTCATCTTGTTCTTGCTTTTCGCTGTGCTGGACACTTTAATGCAATAATTATTTTGTAGAATAGTTATGTTTTTGACTGGTCACTTACCTAGTTTGGCAATTTGGCCTGCTCTCCCTTACTTTCCTCTCCTCCTATTACTAGCAAGTAGTTGTGTGCTTACTGGTAAGGCAGTCAGATAGCAACATTAGCAGTTGCCATCTAGGAAAAAAAATATCGGAACACAGAATAGCCTTATGTAGAAGAACAACACTTAATTGCTAAACATGAAGAAATAAGGCTTGAAAAACTGCTTTCTGAAAGCCTGTAGTTTGTCTCTTTATCCACCAAGGCAAATGTGATCAAATTGCATCTACACGCTTCTTTGTAAAGCAAAGAATAAGTCTGTGACTGAAATCGGATATTTCGGTACGTGCAGAAGATAGGGTAGTATGACTGCTAAAAAAGAATTGGCTGTCAAATTGAAAAAATGCTGATATAAAGCAGGGAGAACATTTATTGTTATACTACTAGTGGTTCCATCTCTTCAGCAGATTGAAACCATGGACCATGTTTTGAAAAGTGGTTAATATCTCACACCTCAGACTATGCTCTTTCTGTAAATGCTCTGCTTCTTTAGGTCCTGTATCTAAAGTTAGACATACAAAATCCTAGATTGTTGTTGTTGCCTGTACGTTTTTCCCTGTGGTTTCGTTTTCTTAGCTTTCTCAAATGCAGAAAGCATTCTATTCCACAGGGGTGTTGTCGGTTTTCAGCCAAAAGACAGATTAATCTTCTTCAGAAGAAAAGAAAGGGATATTAGAGTTCAGATTTAACACCTAGGACAAAGTACATTCTTTATTGCAAACTTTATTTACAATTTTCATTTAAGGCTACTGCTGAATCTTGTGAGTGCTCCCTGAATGCACTGAGTCATATTTAGTGATGTAATTGTTTCAAAAAGGGCTTCCAAGGCCAGAGCTTAGGACTGAGCTACAACTGGTGTAGCTGTTTGTGCTCTCACCAGCGGATGAGTCTCTTACAGACTTTGCCCATTTCATGGAGGTTGGCAGAGTCGATTCTATTCAAAAATACAAGGTGGACTGACAGCATGAGGAAATCTGTCTTCCTGCCTGACAGATCTGTCAAGTTAATTGCAGTCGTGACTTGTCTCAGACTTTCAGTAACCCATTCATTCCTTATAGTCTTCTCTTCTTCGTGGTTTCAGAAGAAACACTGGGTATTTCTGTCATGTACGACCTGCTAATTGTTTAGAACACAGGTATCGGTTGGGGGGAGAATTTAACTTATAAAGCCAGAATCTGCTTATGAGGGGTTTGGAGAAGATAATGCTGATACCTGTCTTAAATCTGTTACAGACTTTATTTTTTGTTATCAAGCCTTCAGCAGAAATAAGGGAAGTAAGCTTCAACTACTAGTCTAATTCCTCTAATAGGCGTACTTAAATGCCTTCCTCTCCGTCTCTAGTGAAGTACCAGTGCGCTTACTGGCCTAGAAAGCTTCTGTTGTTGGAAGGGGTATTGTAAGCAACTCTCTGTTTAAAATTAAGTCATGCTTCAGCCTTGCCATTTGACTAGAATATGGGTAGTTTAATGAAGCTTCCGTGAGTCCTTTGAAAATAGAGAGTGAAATCAAAAAATAGAATTCCTGTCTTCTGTCTCTCCTGAGGACTTATCCCTGGAATTATTGTTTCAGAAAATACTACACTAAAAGCCTTTACTGTAGAATAATGCACCCAAAAAGAAAGAAACTACAAAACAAGAACAATAAAAAGGATTATCCTCATAGTCTTATGCTTCCACATAAGCGAGAGAAAAATATTGATACTTAAAATGCACGATCCGTAAAATTGGTTGATTTAGATCCTTCTATTTGAAAGTTAAGAGAGAGAAATCTGTTCCGGATGGCAGCCTTCTCTCATTATGTAAGAGAGTTAACAAGTGTGCCTGTATGTTAGAAGAAAGATGTATGCTGAATGGCTGTACTCCGTAGTTTTTGGTTCACTTGTTCTCTTACATAATCTTACCCCTAAAGAAAGGAGGAGAAGAGATTTTTCTCCTCTTCTAAATCAGTTAACAGAGAAGTATTGAATGCGTAGTGCCGCTCTTGGGTTGGCCAAAATAATGGCTGTTATCATCAGTGGACACCAAGGGATTTAAAGGTTTAAAGAAGTGCTAAAATCATCTTAACGGCTATATGTTTGAAGCCTGTATCCTTTAACTTTTTCAGCCTTTACCAGAAAGGACAATGTAGCAAGTAGCAGCATTATTGCTTTCACTTGCATTTGACAACATCCGTGCCTCCATGGTAATGCTGATATCAGTCAGATTTTTACCTCTAACTTGCCAGATACCTAAGGCATCATTTTGCTTTTCTTTGCGTGCAGGACTTCTGTCCTCTGCAGAGAGTCAAAATTATCTTGGTTACCCTTTACTTTGGTGTTTTTTAAGTAATAGGGAAGATCAGGGAAACGATCCCTTTTTACCAGATGAAAGAAGTTTGAGTTCTGAGAACTTAAATTTCCTAATGAAAACCAGAATGCACAGAATCTGGATGGCTGGTGTGTTTGTGTGGTGTTTGTGTGTGTGGCTTCCCCCCCCCCTCCCCTTTCCTCTTCTTACTGATGAAGAGCTAAATGGATAATTGATATTTTGGTCAGGTTTGAAAGCTATAACAGGTTAAACTGAACCTTTCCCTTTAAATTTCTAAAACCTTCTCATTGAGAGGGTGCTGTGTGTGTTGTGTTTTGTTTCCCCTCACCCTAAGATTTGGGTGGTGGTGGTTGTTAGTTATTTTTCTTAATTATGTGCTTAAATGTAGGCACCAACTGAATTAGAGTGAACAAAATAAAAAACACTCCAAAGCCTATTGTTTCCTCTTCAGTGACTTTAGATGTTCTTAAAGATGATGTGGGATTTCTTGTGATGCCTGCAAATGTACTACCTAAGCATAAGGGAAACTGAAGAGGGGAAAGAAAAAGTTGAGCAGGTTTTGGGATAAACTACTGAGTGGATTCTGAAATTGAAGTCATTTCCTAAAATGGTCTGCTATGTCAGGTCTTGCTGAAACGCCCTTCTAAGGGTATTAGACACTAACCCTATTCTAAGCAGGTTTTAGATGAGGCTGACAGAATGTTGGATATGGGATTTGAACCTCAGATAATGAAGATCCTAATAGATGTGCGGCCTGACAGACAGACCGTGATGACGAGGTATGTAAGTGCAGTAGTGCTCAGTACTTGAACAAGTTAACCTCAGAATGAGTGTGTCAGTTCTTAAAAAAGCTTTTACTAGCCTAAATGACAGCTATGTCTTTTTTTTCCCCCCTGTGTAGTCAGTCCTAATGAAGTTTTTGTTTGTTTGTTTTGACAAGATATCTTACATTTCTTCCTCCTTTTCTGAAATTTCATATGCAGCTATACAAACATCTGTGTCCTTTCCAAAAAGGAAGGTGTGTCGAGAGTGCTAGGAATTACCATATTAACATGAAAGATCAACTTCTGTTTTTGTGTCCGAGACCAAACGTGTATCCAAGCTTCTGATCAGTGCCTGTGCTAGTCTGTACCTGGACTAATTTTGAAATTGTGTGGTTTTCAGGAGCAAAGTAACAGTGTCCCAACAATAACTCTTACAATCACAACTATTTTAGATTGGTGCTACTGTTCAAAAGATTTGGACGTAGGAGAAGGTTGCTTATTAGAAGTCGTTAAATTACTAAACTCGCTCTTTGGCTTCATTAGGCCCCGTAATTGTTGCATAACTCTCTAGGTTTAAAGTACGGTTATCTTGAAAGGAAGAGAGCTGTTAACTTGTTAGGACTTTTTCTAAATGTTATGGAAGTTCACTATTATGTTATTGAACGTTCAAGTGCCTCTCTGGTGTGTAAGAGGAAAGAAAGAAGAACGCGATTAATGTATTAGAGAAGATTTTTGCACTCTTTCTTGTGTGTTTGTTTTCCTCTTCACTTCCCATTAGTGCTACTTGGCCTGATGGTGTTCGTCGCCTAGCAAAATCCTATTTGAAAAATCCTATGATTGTATATGTTGGCACTCTTGATTTAGCAGTAAGTTGCTCTTTTTTTTTTTCTCCTTTTTGTTCTAGAAGAACCTACAGTTAAACCAGAAATTTTACTTGTAACCGTGTATAAAATGTGTGTAACTGAAATCAGTGTGAACTTCCAACACGCTCTGTTGCTCTTTCTGAACTTTTTATGAGGCTTTTAACAAGCTTAAAAAGAGAGTGGAAAAGAACTTTTTTCTAACATTTATTTAACAAGATCTTGGAAGTCTGTCTTCTGCTGAAACTCTAGGAAGTCAATCAAAGCTAGAACTTTACTGAATGTCATATTCCAATAAGGACGTTCCTGCAGTTTCAGTAATAAAACTTTCACCCAAGTCTAGAGCCAGACTCTTTATTTTTGATATTGTTAGTAATTATTATCTCGAATTTATTTTGTAACTCTTCCAATTCAGATTTGAATTCCAGATAAAAATAAGAAAGAATTGTTCAGAGCACGTAGATGACTTGTAACTGTAAGATGACACAAGACAGCATAAGCTCTATTTTGGAAAATTGCTTCTTCTGAAGCTTATGAAATTAACTGCTTAATTACTGATCATCTTATCAGTTACTTCAAACAGAAGTATTCTGTATATCTGACAGTAGCATTTGGTAGTAAAATATGGTTGAAATAGCAAACTGATGTTCTGAGGTGGATCATGAGAAGAAGTGCAACCACTCATCTCTATAAGCATTAGGTAACTTGCTTGCAGCGGGAAACAGACAAGAGAAAGAGCATTTCCTTTCCAGCATGGAGAACTTAATTTTTAAAAAAAAAAAATTTAATTTTTAAAACTATCCAAATAAAGAGACGAAGTTCTTTGCTTCTGCTGCTGAGCTGTATGTTTATACTAGAGGGACTTAGTGATGTCAGTTAGTGTCAAAATGTCCATGCCGTATGATTTTTTTTTTAAAAAAAAAATTGGTTTTAAACAATTTAACTTTGTTAATCCTTTGTGTTCTCCCATGTGGAGAAGGGACCTTCCTGACTACCTGACCAATTTCTCAACTCTTGCCATAAGATATGGCTTACAATGTCAGTGTCAGGAGAATGTCTACCCAGAATAAGCTACTTCAAATTGATTTTTACTCACATTAAGAATGTTTATTTCATGTCATCTTACTAATCTGTAGATCAAAATCTCTGAATACCTCTAAATCTGTGAAAATGTATGATTGACAGACTGCTTAAAAATAAATTTTACTACTCTCCTAAGGCAACTAGGATTCTAATATATATTCTATTTTTATAATAGTTTTACAGGATAGTATTTATTAATTTTATAACTTGGAAATTAGCAGAAACAGATTGGAGTAATGTTTTTCTATGTGATGTCCCTTTTCTATGTGTGACAGGCAGTAAACACGGTAGAACAGAGAGTTGTTGTCATCCCAGAAGAAGAAAAGAGAGCTTTCACACGATACTTCATTGACTCTATGAAGCCAAAAGATAAGGTCATCATTTTCGTCGGAAAGAAACTTACGTATGTAATCACTTCCCAGTATCATATCTGTGGTGTGTAGGGGTTTCCGTGTGGTGTCTTTTCTTTCTTTTTTTTCTTTTTTTTCCTCCCAGAAATGCTGAATAGTTTATGTTTGGATAATGAAGTGTGATAGCCACTTTCAACAGTGTGCTGGTAATGTTGATGGCTGTGGTGTCCTGGCTCCCCTCGCACCTGTCCCCCCACCCCAGAAGAATGCTTGCCTCATACTTCATATACTACTTAATTTCAGAGCTACTAACAGTAGCGGTGGGAAATCTCAATCTCACGTAATTAAAGTGGATGCTAATGTTTTTAGGGATATATTAATATAACTTACTCTTGACTTGCATATACAACTGGTGTGTACGAAACGTGTTTTTTTGTCTGTCGTTGTACCACACCTAAGCCTTTCAGGTGCTGTGGCAGACATTGTAGACAATGGACTCTTTTGGCCTTTTGATGCAAGGAAGTGAGACAAAACTTTGTAGCTTGCCAGTCTTCAGCTTCTTGAATATTTGAAACTAATTATGCTGTAGGATGCATGCAATTTTTTTTTTTTAATAGGTGGAGGGCAGAGGTAGAGCCTGACATAAGCTGCCCTCGAAAGGATATTGTGGGGATTTTTCCTTTAAGCTGGTCTAAACTATTGTCTGAAAATTGTTCTTGAGCAGCCTGTGTGGGGAGCTTCTGACTCCCGCTCACGTACCTTTCAGTTGATAAACTTCGTTGCCTGTAGCGCACATAGCTTAATCTTGACAGCTGCCTGGAAGGGCTTCAGACTTCTGTCTAGAAATGTAAGAGCTGAGGCTTCTTTGGCAAAGTCAGAAACACTGTTCTGAGATACAAATACGCAGCCAGTGTCAAGAGACAGATCTTTGTAAGAAAATGTCAACTTGTTAAGACCGATTCTTTGTGGGAGGGGATTGTTTGGGGTTTTTGAGGTTTTTTTTTTTTTTTAAAAACACATCAGCTGCTAAAGTACTACATTTTAACAAATCCAAAACTATTCAAGTGAGTACACGCATGCCATATAATCATGGTGTGCTCGTGTCCGTGTAAAACAAGAAAGCTCTTCTTTGCACTATCCACAGAGTGAATTTTTTACTACTTCACTTTCTCTGTCTTTATATATATAAGGCACATGATACCTGCTGCCATCTTTTCTACTCTTCCGTTAAGGTAGAGTGCTTCCTGGGTTTATACTTTTTTGCTGCATGGCTGTCTCTTTGCTTTGTGGATTCAGTGCTTTCATCAAAGACCTCTTTCTGGTGAGAGAGGGAGAGAAGGGCTCAAAAAACATGTATTTCTTATGTTAAGAGTTTTCTGTGCTTTCTGCCATACTGTTAAAATAAGTATCAGCTGGCCTTGGTAGGATTTTGACCCCTCTTAGACACACGCTTAGCTTTTGACAGCACATTATCATCTCTGCATTCTTAATCTAACTGCAGTATTTTATTTTTTAAAGAACTGTTGTTTTATTTCATCTTAGAGCCGATGACTTAGCAAGTGACTTTGGTCTCCAAGGAATTCCAGTTCAGTCGCTTCATGGTAACAGAGAGCAGTGTGATCGAGAACAGGCTTTAGATGACTTCAAGAAAGGTGGGTTTGTACCTTTTTAAAAAAAAAAAAAAAAAAAAGCTTTGTTTAGCCCTGGTTTTTAAAGCTTGTGCTGTGCAGCTTGGTGTCTGTTTGTAAGTGCAGTGACTCTTTAGTGCATTAGAAATGAAAATGTTGAATGTATGGGAATGAAGCTCTGAATGATATATATATATGTACGTACTTTGTTAATTTGATAAACACAAACAGCAAACAAGGAGTTGCTCTTTGTTCAATAAAAATTGGAATGGCCGAGATTTAAATAATTTAAGGTGAAGCCTATTTGAAGTCTCTGTGAAACAGTCAATACTGTACTAGTCTACACTAGTCTAAACTTCTGTGTCAAAAGATGGTGCTGGCAGTGAAACAGTTCTGCTTTTTGATAATGCTAGGAGGATTGTCCTTTGGGATTATGTGATCCAATGTTAGTAAAACAAAAAACAGTCCTGTGATAAGGATGCCAGCACAGGAAATACGTGTTGAAGCTTCTGTTCTCTTCACAGACTTTTTTTACATCAACTGGGCACGTTACTTGGTTCTTCTGCGCCTAGTTGGTCTACCTGTGAAATGAAATAGTAAAATGACAATACGAGCACTTACCTGCCACCTACTATCTGAAGTTAAATCAGTGTGGGACACGACAAGCACATATTTCCTTTAAGTGTCAAGGGATAGGTGCGTTATATGTGAGCAAACGAATAGGCTAGAGTGGGTCTTCTGTGTATTCCGTTAACTCCTGTTGTTTTTTTGTTGTACTTGTTTTAGGCAAGGTCAGAATACTGATAGCTACTGACTTAGCATCCCGTGGTCTTGATGTGCATGATATCACTCACGTTTTTAACTTTGACTTCCCTCGAAACATTGAAGAATATGTTCATAGAGTAGGTCGCACTGGACGAGCGGGGTACGTATTTTCAAGAAAATAGCCGTATTTGTATTAATGAATACTAGTATTCATTATGCACTGTGTTGGTGTTTTGTGTCAAATGCTAGAGCTACAGATGATGCAGAACAGAGGAGCGATGCTTCCAGAGTATACCAAAGTGTGCTTCAGATGATAACGTGCTGCTTTGTGGTCTGAAATTTGTTAACTGTTAAATTGAAGACCAACAAGTTTTTTATCTTTCTGTCATTTCTTTGAAATAGTTGAGGGAAGGGATGTTTGAAAAGGGTTTTAATATGAGCAAGAATTATAATTCTGTGTACCTCTACTTTTGTAGAGATATTCTGAAATGTCACTTTGTTTTAGTCTGTCTATTCATGAACTGCTGAACTGCTTAGTTTCCCGAACAGCCCACTGGAAAAAACACAGTTAAGTGCAGAGTTTTCTGCCTATAATGGTGGTATAGTTTGCTGTTAGGAGGTTTGAATACTGCTTTCCCAGGCTGGCACAAGCCTTTTTTGAGTTATTAATGCATGACTTTTCATACTTACGTATTTTGTCTTTATGCTAATTTATTGGCTAAAAGTCTAATTTATTTGTGGCTTTGCTCCATTTTTTAGCTGAATGGCCTTATTCTGGCCCTCACAAAAACAAGAAGTTGTTTTCTGTTATATGCGCAGCAAGTACTCCAGCCTGCTCTATCTAAAAGTTCAGAAATATTGCCCATAGTCCAGTTTAGTACTAATTGAAGTATATGTTGGTAGGAAAAGCCTAACAGTGTAGATATTTTCTATTTGGAAGATCAGCATTTATTTTATTTCTTGCCCAGACGTACTGGGGAGGCAGTAACGCTTGTCACTAAGAACGATTGGAGAGTTGCGTCTGAGCTGATTGACATTCTGGAAAGAGCAAACCAAGTAAGAAAGTATACCTTACTGGGTGAGGTTTATATTGATTCTCGGTTACCATGGTACCCAGGTTGTGAATGTGAGAGCCTACTTACACTTTTCTTGATGATAGTATGTAGTATGATGATGTATGTATCTCAGCAAAAAATGGGTACTTAAATCCTTCTTGTCCTGAATATCCTTAGCTTGGACCTTTTCTCAGTTGTTTCTTTAACTTACTGCAGATGAGTCCCAGAAAAGAATCTCCAACTTTAATTGAAGCCTTCAGCATCTCAAGAAAAAGCAGCTATCTAGCATGTGCATGCGTGCACATGCGCGCACACACACACCCCCCCTCCCTGCAGAGGAATAATATGACCTAGTTTATTCCTTGGTATTTAGTTCCACTCATTTCACTTCTGAAGACATATACCACTGCTCATCTTTAACAGTATAAAGATCAGAAGAAGCTCAACCATCCTTTAGTTTCTAAGGTCTGACAGTCATGATGATATCTGCCCGTACTTTCCCCAGCTCTTTTTCTTACAGATATTTGTAAATAGTGGAGAGGTAGGACTAGAACATGTAACTTACTTGCCTATTTAAATGAAATATTTGTTCTTATTACCATGTCTGAGAACCCAGAAACAATTACGTTGCTGTTTCTTGCTCTTACAAGAAACAATATTTTGCCTGATTTATAGTAAATAGCCAGTTTGTGCCCCGATTGAATTGCGTGGGGGCTTTTTGATGTTTTGTTGCTGTTGATGAATGCAAACTAACTTGCATTTACCTAGGGCCAGGAGGGTACTTGTAGCTGTTATTGTGGACATTTACTCCAACTTTAAACCCTGAGCTAGAACTTGACCTAATCTTCTGGTTTTAACACCTTTCAAAGAAGAGTTGTAATGCCATAAACTGCAAACCTAATAAAAATCCTTGTGAGGAAGGAAAAGAGATTTGCCTTCTAAAAAAAAAACTACTTAAAGCTGCAGCATTTTGGAGGAGGAGGGGGAAGTAAGAGTTGAAGCTCCTAGTAGTTCTTCAAATCCACTTAATTAGAACGTAGACATGCCTTGTTGTGTATTCTGAATCGGCCACTACTATCCGTGCGTAGTCTCCTGCTTCAGGTTGAAGTTCTGAAAGTTTATTGAGAGACGATAGTTCAGCTAGGAACAGTTCCTGAGTTCAAAGGAGAAAAGAACATCTCTGCCCCCATACCTTCAAGGGTAGCTAGTAGTCCTATCTTTCTCAAGCTTCTAGTTACAGCTGATAGAAGGGAAACAGCCGTGTAAGGCAGTTTTTTTTTCCTCACAGTCACAGCAATGAAAATTTCATGACTTCAGTCTTTTAAGCATCATGTGAAAGGGAAGGAGAACAGCTGGAGACCTCAAGGTCCACAATGCTTCAGTATCACAACTAGTAAGGTGCCTTTCTTAGCCTCCCAGATGTTGTCCATGATTCTGAATACACAGATCAACTCTCTAAAGAAAAACAGGTACCATGGGAAGATTGCCAGGTTTTTATATCATGCTGCAGGAATCTACTTGATGCAAGTCGCTTATTAAGAAGCGTGGACAGGTTTGTCGGGGAATCCGGTAGAAAAGCACAAGAAAACACTTCTTTACTGTGAGGGCAGCCAAACACGGGAACAGGTTGCCCAGAGAGGTTGTGGAGCCTCTATCCTTGGAGATATTCAAAACCCAACTGGACACAGGCCTAGGCAACCTGCTCTAGGTTACCCTGCTTGAGCAGGGGACCAGATGATCTGCAGACATCCCTTTGAACCCCAGCTATTCTGCGATTTCTGTAATACCATAATTTTTATGTAACACCGTTCTTGGTATCTTTATTCCTTCTTGTTTTCTCATTTAGACAACCATCTAGCATGTATATAAACTGCCTGTGTAAAATCTTACAAAATCAAACCATTAGGTGCTGGATGTTACCTCAATGAGACTTTTTTGTGTTCCATTTTCTAGCTCCTTCCCACTCTTCCCTTGACCTTCTCAGAAACCAGTCTGACAAGGAACTGTTGCAGTTCGAGCTGGTGTAAGTTCTCTCTCATGCTGCCAGAGAGCGTCTGCTGTGATACAGAGGAGGAAAATTATACGCTGCTTCAGCTGGAAACCTAACTCTGTCTCACTTCTTGTATCTGTAGAAATCACTGTATCGAGTGATTTTTTTTCAGCTAGAGATGCATCGTTTTTTCGCTTTCTTTTGAACAACGCCTAAAACTTTAGAGGGAGTCGACTGTTTCTACAGGCAGCCTGTTTTGTGGGCTTCTGGCTGCTGGGTACGTGTTTACCAGTGAGAGCGTTTCAGTATGTAAAATGCATACTAGCAGTCCGACTCATCCCAGTGTAAGAAAAGTTGCTGATACCAAAGGGTGAGCATCGCTGAATTATGCAGCCTGACAAAAGAAGTTGAAACAGAAGGGATGCCGTCTCGCTCGGCCACGCTCTTAATTGCGGCTGTTTCCTTCATCTGTTAAGCGTTGTCAGGTCTAGGGAGGCTTTACAGCATGTAAACCCACTACGTTTCAAAGCAGTGCTCCAAGTCTGTACTGCACTTTTGCCTCTTACGGAGGGACAAACTATACAGACTGAGCAATCAAGGAATTCCATCGTGCACTGGAGGGGCTTGTTTCTCCCTCTGAGCTCAGGAAATTGGACACATCCTACCTGCTATATGGCTGCCTGCTGTAGCAGGTTGTCTGAGCAGGCTGCTTTTGATAGATTAGTAATCTGAAACCTCTTCTGACAGCACAATGCACGGTTAGTAGGGCTTTTTGCAATAGATACTGCATTAATGTCTGCATAATGTCTGATCCAGTTTAAGAACTTACTAGACTCGGCCTTTGTTTCATGATCTATGGGAATGGGATGTGCTTATTGTCCCATGTCTTCTATTCAGTAGTATTAATCAAAGTCACTCAACCTAATAAAGTCTGTCTAACTTTTTGCAGCTGGCCTCAGTCTTTACTAACTTGAATAATTTTGAGGGGGAAAGTTTGCTGATGATACTATCTACCTCCTTTTCCACAAAATTGCAAACAGACTAGAAAGTACATGTGCTAGTACAGATCTCTTCTGTTAGATGCTTTGGTGACCTTCCACTGCTGTGAGAACTGACCTGCTTATTCCTGCCCTTCTGTTTCTATCTTAACTGTTTTATCCATGTGAGGATGCTTGCCTCCTATCCAATGGCAACGTTTTTTTCTTTAAGAGCCTTTGAAGGGGAACTCTTGTACCTAATGCTTCCAAAAAGGATTTTGTATCAATCATAGTTGTATAACATTGAAATATATATAGTGAGTCACGTGTTAATGGCACTTGTAATATTTTCCACTTGTTTTCACTAAATGATTTTTATCTGAAATAAAACTATTTTAATTAGCTGGTCATTCATCGTCATCAGATACGGTGATAACAGCATACATATATAATGGAAAATGCATGGATGGATGCTGTGCTGAATATTTTCACTCAGGCTGTAGTACAGTTTGGTTTTTTTTTTTTTTTTAAAAGGTTAGACTATGCATCAGTAGATCTACAGAAAAGCAAATCTGCAAAGTGACGGGAGCCAGATGAATAACCAAATCTAGTTTAGGAGGACTCAGTGGTTTTTTTTAAGTAGATGTCTAAAAGAATTACTTAAAAATGACTTTATTCTTGTGCTCCTTTCTCGCCAGGCAGTTCCTAGTGAGCTTATTTCAATGGCAGAAAGATACAAACAATTTCAGCTCAAAAAAGAAATGGAAAGGGATGTGAGAAGACCTCAGAGACGGCCTCCAAAAGGATTGTAATCGCCTTGAAGTTACTGAAACAAAGTAAGTGATTATAGGTAGTGTTAGCATCTATGGATTTACACTAGTTTAAAAACCCAAAAATGTGGATTAATTTTATATAGAAACAAATTTGGTTTTGTGCCCAGGCATTATTTTAACTTAAGAAAAATTAATTTCAGGACTACTTCCTTAACACGTATAGCTTCTGAAGCCATTATGTACTGGTTAAAAGCAAATGCTTTTCTTGCTTCTTAAAATGAATCGCAGTGTTAGCCTATGAGAATGTAAAAGATAATTTTTCCTTTTATTTTCAGAGAACTGGATTAGTGAATGTAAGCGCTACTTGTTGATGTGGTTTCAAAATACTGCACTTCTCTGTTGGTATGCCACATCTGTCAGTGGCATGCAAGAGTATTTCTAATGTTAACTTACAGTTACTTGAAAGATGCTGTGTTTGCATAACTGATGCTTGCTGAAGCAAGTATTTCGTATTTTAAAACTAATACTGAAAGCCATTTTTGTTAACACTTGTGTCTCAGACTTTTTTGAGAGAAGACTGCATTTCTTCTCAGTGGAGAGGAGCACATAACAAGAGGTCTGTGTTTATGGCTAACTGAGAAAAGGAACTTCCACTTTTGCACTCAGGGATGTAATGTTGTTAGCTTAAGGGGGGAAGGAAGTAGTTTACCACAGTGATGTTAAGAGAGTCCTGAAGAGCAGCTTGGACGTTTGAAGGTCAGCTTTACTTCTTTCAGATGAAGTCGATTCAAGTCGTACACTTGGATGTCAGGTTCTTTCACACAGACTGCTAATGGTAATGGAGTATCCTCTTACTCTCTGGAAGTTGGAAGGGAACAGACTATTTCTATACAAATGACATTGGTCTGAACTTGTGTTTACTTGTGTGTGTCATATCAGCAAATGGAAAACTAATAAATGTAGTGAATGAGAATATTTTAGTAAGATAATTCTCAGAAGCGTCTTCTGGTCTTTCCTTTTTTTTTTTTTTTTAATTGAGGTGAAATGTGGGCATTATTTAAGCTGGTAAGTGTTTTGCCTTCAGAAAGTCGGCTAAAAATACAGACTTCCTATGTCTTCCCCCTTAAGAAAAGAAAAAGATGTAGTTTCCTACAGCACAGCAGTTCTCAAATGCTGTGTGTGTATCAACTGCAAAATTTTTAAAAAGTCTGACATGCCATAATTCTCCACCACCTCAATGCATGCCCCTCATTGTAAGAAAAATTGAGCTGAGTTCTATCTAGGCAGCTTAACGAAGCACTGTCTAAACTATAGCCATCAATACTATTCAAAGCAGGATGAACTAAAATGTAATTGTGCGCTAGTTCCTCTCTTGGAATATAGTAGAACTTTGAGTTTTGCGAATGAAGATGAACCAAAAAATCTTTGAATTTCAGCCTTGCGCTGCATTTTGGATTTTTCTGTAAGCTCTTAAATGGAAACTCTTTGATGTGGATGGAAAAGGTGTATATTTTTCTACAGTGATCTCCAAACAAATGCTGTTGCCACGTTTACTGGATTTCCAGCACAAGAACGTGGCTAATCATTAATGACACACTAGGTTACAGCAGGCCTTCATAACATTTTTATATCAAAGCACTTGATATTGTGGCACTAATGTTAATTTGTGATATCTTCCCCTTGTATCTCTTTCATAGCCTACCCTCAGGTGTAGCACACTGGATAGCGATTGCTTCCTTTGCAAAGTCCAATGAAAAGACTAATTTCCAAAGCAGTTCTGAAGATTCAGAAAAGAGAAGAAGCCACTTAGAATACAGGGAAGTAACAAGATATTGTTATTTCCCTGTATTCTGTCTGTGCTCAGTGGTGCTGGTGACTGTCGTCCTGCGACGGTTTCTGTTAAGGGATGTTAAAAGGGCTGCTGCCTCTGGTGTGCTCTAGGACCTAGGGATTTCTCTGGGGAGCCCAGCCCAGTGCATGCGGAGATCTGGAGGTCTCTCTCTCCCAGGCTGATGGATGCAGCTGCTGCTCTTCCATGTGCAGGTTCAACCAGCAGTGAGGCTGAGTGTATATCCTAGCGACACACAAAGAGGATGTTAACGTGGCTAGCTATACAAACTGTCACAAGGCACTGCCTTTGACAGGACCCACGTGTAACATGAACTCGTGTAAACAGAGCGCCCCCTTATCCGTTATGCAGGCCTCTTGCCTGGCAGCTAGTCCTGCTTGATGATCGCTAGTAAACAGATGCGTGCACTCATTTCTCCGGTACCCCTCCACTCAGAGATCCCTCAAATTATCAGCGTGGGTCCTCTGTCTGTCTCACACCTCTGCCCAGACCCTGGGCTTCCTACTTGACACACATGGATAAGGGAAAGCACACAGGTGTGCATGCCTGTGACATAGTTAAGGGAAAATACACTCTGGACCAGCAACACGTGTGCTGTGACTGATGCCAAGACCCTCTCTTGCTCCAGTTGCTAGCACCAGACCCGGGGCCTCTGTTACCTGAGGTCTGAGGCCAGTTGCTGGCCTCAGCTTCCCTCGTGTTTCCAGTTGCTGGCACCTAAACTTCACAACACTTACACAGCACAGAGTTAGATTACATGGAAAGATGGTTAAGGAGAGATTTAATATGAAGATAGCAGAGACTGCAGTGATGAAGCAAGGGTACTGACTGGCAGCTGCTTACACACATCTGGACCTTTTTATATCCTTCTCCTCTCTCTTGCCCCCTTTGTTCCTCACTGATGCCCTTCTCCCAAACGTTCATTAGTAAATTTTGTGTAGTGCCTCAAGCCCTGTGAAATATCCCAAATCCTTGTTTGTCTGGTTTTTCCTCTTATCAGTTATGAAATCACAGAATGGTTGAGGTTTGAAGGGACCTCTGGAGATCATCTAGTCCAACCTCCCTGCTCAAGCAGGGTGCTCTAGAGCGTATTTCCCAGGATCACATCCAGACGGGTTTTGAATATCCCCAGGGAAGGAGACTCCATTACCTCTCTGGGCAACCTGGTCCAATGCTCTGTCACCCTCGCAGTCAAGAAGTTTTTCCTCAGCTTCAGATGGAACTTCCTGTGGTTCAGTTTCTGCCCGTTGCCTCTTGTCCTGTTGCTGGGCACCACGGAGAAGAGACTGGCCCCATCCTCTTGACACCCTCTCTTCAGGTACTCGTACACGTTGATGAGATCGCCTCTCAGTCTTCTCTTCCCCAGGCTGAACAGGCCCAGCTCTTGCAGTCTTTCTTCAGAGGAGAGGTGCTCCAGCCCCCTCATCATCTTGGTAGCCCTCCGCTGGACTCTCTCCAGTAGCGCCATGTCTACTGGACAAGTCCAGGTTGGTCCTCCCCAGACTATGCCTATAGTCTCCTAACGGCCCATCGGTTAGTGACTGGAGACTTTAGGTCTTGGTCGTTGACTCAGTTATCCCTTGCCTATGGGGTTTGTGTCTGTGCCTGAGTTTTGTTTGTTTGTCGCTTTCCCTGTTACTGACTGCCCTTGAGTGAAAAAGGTCCTTGATCTGATACCTTTAATGAAGCAGGGTTATGTTCAAATAGTGTGACTGAAATACGTTCCACTGTGTTCTTGATTGATATTGGTTTCCATAGCACCAGATTATTAAGAAATAACTTACACTGCTAGTCTTCTATTTTTAAATACTCAGATTTTTCAGGGCTTTCATGTAGATATTGTAAATGATGTTTTTAATTGTCCTGCT